TACTATTGCTTACTTTATTGTTACAATTTGTAAAACAATTGTGAAGTTGGTGAATTGAAACCTTCAAGTCTTCAACGATAATCAATTTTCAACAAGTTGTTCGTCAATTCGGTAAACTCATTCCAACTCTTCATTTTTAATATTATACTTTTGTTTGTTTTATTTATTTTCTATTATTTGATTAATTAAGATGACTTCCTTAAAAAAAATTTGGTAAAAATAAGAAAAAATCCAAGAGTGGCGAATCTAGTGGCCAATATGTTCCTCCTCCACTTCCCCCGACTCCCCGACCCAAACCCCATACCCGTCCTACACCTGCTATTATTGATAGTAATAATAGTTTATTACAATTTACTGAGAGCCAATTTTGCTATAATGTTGGAGCTGGTGAACAATTAGACCATGAATTAATGAATGCTCTTTATTCTAATCCAACTATTGATGAAAATGACGAGGAGGAAATAGATTTTGATGAAACGCAACCGGATGACGATACACCCACTAGTCCTGCTCCTGAAGTTAACCCAATTAATGATAATCCAAATGATGCCCCGTCTGACCCTCCTGTTACTATCCCTAATTTTTCTAGATAACGTACCAAACGGACAAAAAATCTATTGTTTGGCCGTTTTTTACTCAGCTAATTCCACAAAATAAGGCTAAGTGAAAACTTATGGCAAGGAGTTAGCTTTTAAATATTTTGGAGGTCGGGAGGGACGGGAACTTTGGCTAGACACATATTGATACACCCTCAAGATAAAGTCAAATATCTTCGTATGAAAGCCTTGGCCGAGAGGACATGTGTACCTACTCCTAGTCAAACTGACCCTAGTACCAGGTCAAATCAATTTCAACCGAAAATTAACACTGTTACCGGTGGTATTTTATATTATGATCCAAAAAAAGATCGGAAAGAATTGGCACTGAACTTGCGGAGGATTCTGCTTCGCCCGGAAGCGGTGATGACCAAGCTTCTTTTCCACCACCACCAACGGAAATTCCTCCGAACCTTAATGGATTTATGAAGTTTGTAAGAGATACCATGTAACTTGTATGAACAAAAATTAGTATGTATTATGTAACTTGTATTTTGGTACATCTTGATTAGTTTCTTTTTCTTCTCAATAGTGGTATTAGCACCTTGTTGTGCTCATTCCATAGGGGGAGGAAGATTAAGAAAGATATTGCCATATTTTTTTAATGCTATAATAAATTATAATGCATTGCTTTGAATATCTCTTTACAATATTTTTATTTTTAAATTTGAATTAAAAAATTTAGCTCACAATTCTATAATATAATTTACAAGAAATTGCCTTAGATATTTTTATTTCCATCTTTTTTTCTCTAACTTCTATAAATTTTAAATAAAAAAAAATATCCGTTGGGACCACTTAGGCCCGAGACCGTCCCACTTAGCCCGGGACCATTAGTTCGTGGGCCCGGTCCCGGGCCGGTTCCTACAAAAGGACCACCAAAACCGGGACCGCGAAGCCAGTTTAAATTGGAACCGGCCCGGGACCGGCCCACATGCCACCTTTAACGTAGATACTTGATTGAACTTTGTATTTATTTTGTTCTTTCTAAAGAAGTATGTCATAGTCCTATGCCGGGGCGAAGCTATGTTGGCCCAAGGGTGGTCAACTGACCACCATTCGTCGAAAAATTATACTACGTATAAGGTAAAATATTACTTGTTATTGATTAAAAATAAACTTTGAACACTCTTGCATAGCCCACTGGCAAAGGGTTGTATTTCCTGGTTTCGCCACTGATCCTATGCAAGTTATATGATTTAAATGGAATAATTTTAGGCGAAGGTTGTTCCGAGACAAGAATGTGTAGCGAATTCATGCGATGGAAAATTATTTATAGTATGTTTTTCCCCTCAATATAGAATTTTGTGGATGGATCCTGTGGTAAAGGAAGGTGAAGAGTATATATTCAGCAAATATTGGAGGAATAAAGTAGGAAGCTAGCAAAGTGCCATCACATAGAAAACAAAACAATAGGTCCTACGAAAGACTTGGTCTGTTTGTCTTGAGCTCATCCATAATTTGCAAGAAAGATCATTCATGTATAAACTAAATTGATTTAAGTTATATACAATGATTTAAGTTAGTTACTTAAATAAGTATTTGTTTTATGTCATTGCCTAGACCTTAAACTCAAAACTAAAGGAGTATATACCTTTCAACTTTAGTACTCCCTTTAACCAATTGATATGGTACCGTTTGAATTTCGAGTCATACATCTTAACTTTTACCATGAATGAATCTTTAAGTTTTTTTGAAATAAAATTTAAATACTTGAAATTACATAAAAGTATTACATATCATAATAATTAACATTTCAGAATATTTTAAAGAATCGAGAAAAACAGAGTGCCACGTACTGAGAGTAGTACAGGGAAAAATGTGGGGAGAAAATTGACTTACCGGAGTCTTGTTCCAATAAACTAGAATATCAGTTTTCAACTTGGTCCGTCCACACATACAGCCAAGTCAAGTGAAGTGAAGCCCGAGCAAGTGTTCAGAAAGAAGGAAAAAGACAGGTGAACTGGAAATTAGGGAAACAGTTTTCAACCAGAAACGGCTTATCTCTTTGAGTAACTTGCGAGAATGACAGTGATGAATTGATTTAATTTGCTGGGCCTGAAAAATAACAAATCACAATGTTCGATGGGATTGAATTCTGAAAAACATGAAAGGATGACAGAATTGAGTTTTTGGGATCAAGCCTTCAATTTGAGGCTTAAATCAATGAACACATAATAAAATGACGACGCCCCCGTCTGGATTAGCTGAAACCCATAATATATGTTTGATAGTAAAGTGACATAAGTTGTGCTTTTATTAAAAGAAAGAATAACAAGAAAATACAACTGATTTCACACCGTAACAAAAAATGGCCCATATTTTTAAGTTTTACCCGACCTAACCTATATTGTACATATTTTGAAAGCACTAGCAAATTCAAAATCTATGTTCTTATAACCATTGTTTCTAAAAGTTATGGAGTTAAATCTTTGTTCTCACAACCATTAGTTTCACTCTCTCTTCTTCTAACATCTTCTACATATGCTTTAAGGGGCCGTCCGCCGTTACTACTTCTCCCCCTGTATCACCTGGTTGCAGTGTAAGAAAATTGAAGAGTAAAGTCCACCATTGAAGGTCATTCAAAGCTTTGCTTTCGAAAATAATATTTTTTGAGTTTGTTAGTTGTTTGGGTTGGATGTTGTTCCAATTGATTGAAAATATCAAAAGGTAGTTCAAAATTTAAATTTGAAGTGATTTGGAGTAGATTTGAGCAAGATTTGAGATAAATTTCAAAAAAAATGCAAGGAAGAAGACGAAGTCAGTTTTTTATATAAATATGTATAATCTTGTATAATAGTGTATAAGAGTGTATAAACACATCTTATACACTATTATACACTTTTATACAAGCGTCTGTAGACGAACTTCTTCCACGATTTTTAGTTGCAATTCTTGTTCAAAACCAGTCCAAATCTCCATTAAATGACTTCAAATTTTATATACAACCTCCTTATACTATTTCTAACAAGTCTAAATAGCATTCACTCCAAATTTCTCATAAAATCAAATTCAGAATTTAAACCCACATATTTAAACTTGTTAAAATCCAATTTTCACCACCCAAATAGATTTGGTTTGTTGAACTAATATTTGAGTCACAGTTATTGATTTGAAAATTAACTTAAAAGCTTGAGCAATCTTTTTTTAAAATTAAATAGTAATTTCGAGAATCTATCGGAGTTTAATGTTGAATCTTAGCCTATTATTTTTGGGCTAGTTGGTTGTAAATTGAAATATGTGCTATAAAATTGAAAAGTAGGGAGTCCACTTGTTCTTATGTGAAATTTTCCCTTATTAAAATGACTAAAATATTCTTAAAAATTTTACAAAAGATTAGTATTAAGGATAAATTAGTAAAAGTCTTGGTCAAACTAAAAGTGTTTATAAGCTAAAAAGCCATAAGTTGGAGGTGACCAACTCATGATTTATAGGCTTATAAGTACTTTGGAGTTTGGATATTTATCAAACGCGTAGATAAGCTAAAAGATACTTATAAGTCAGTTTGGCCAACTTATAAGCTTAGCCAAACACCCTCTTAATATATTGATTAGAAACGGCTTATCTCTTTACTTGAAGAAGAAGAAAAAAAGCTTAACAAGCTACCATTTTCATGACCCTCTACACTTAGATGTCAATAATTAATATCCTTGAATATAATGGATATTGTATATATTTTTAATCACATAAGTTAGAGATTCATTTGTTTCAATTATCTCATCATAAAAGGGCAGCCCGGTGCACTAAACTCCCATTATGTGCGGGGTCCGGAGAAGGACCGGACCACAAGGGTCTATTATACGCAGCCTAACCCTATATTTTTACAAGAGGCTGTTTCCACGACTCGAACCCGTGACCTCCTGGTCACTCACCATATCTAAGACAAATTCACATACTTATTGCACCATTCGTATATAAAGAATTGGCCTTGGTTCAAACCATACCATAAGTTTGGCATGATTGAAACAAATTGACAAACTAAGCTACAAAGTATTCCATAACAAGTTACTCAATTTACTATCTAAATTTTTCTACTAGTCTCATCAGAGCATCTGAAACATCACTAGGACTAAACGCTAATAGATCTTTTAACTTTTTGTCCCACAGACCATAGTTCGACTGATATAGACCATAATACCTACCCCATCCATCCCAATTTATTTGATAAAGTTCAAATTTCGAGAGTCAAACTTCTCAATATTGACCACGAATTTGGATATAGAATCTTTTAAGTTTTTTGAAATAAAATTTACAAATTTGAAAACTTGATAAAAAGAGTACTGTAAGTAACAATAATTAATAATTCAAAATATTTAAGAGGATATGAAAAATCCACTTGACTCTCAAACTCAGAAGAGAGAAATAAAGGAAATACTTTGACAACACCCTCGAGCTTGCTTGGGATTTGTAAAACTGCAAATATACATTGGCATACTATTGATTCTAGGCAAGATTACATCTAATCCCGGCATATTACAATAATTGAACCAGATAAAATCAAATCAAACCTAATGAATGTAAATCATGTAATAATCTCAATAGTAAAATAGCCAAAACTCAATACATGGTGAATATTGTAAAATAACCACTGGAGGGAAAACAACAAGTAAATTGAACCCAACATTTGTTTCTCTGCATTCCTAGGTCTAAATGTTATACATCCTACTCCAGCATATGTTAATGTTACTCAGCTGTTATCGCATGTTTCCCTCCCGCAGCACATCGATCATGTCGTATATTCGCTTCTCTTCTTTCAATTTCACCTATATTCAGAAAACATCTACTGTTATTCTTTGGTGAATGCAGAGTAAAAAGCTAGAACACATCACAAAAATATTTGAAACTTCTATTTCTAACTGAATTTGTTCCTTGAGATGCATGGTGAAAGCTCTGCAAAGAGAAGCTCCAATAACAAATTTAGACATTTTTTGTTCAGATTACCTTCTTAGCAAGGAAAAGTATAGCATCAACTGTTCCCTCTGCATAGATTGATCTACCACAAACATTGTGTTGAAATTCAAAAGAAACCCTGAAAAAGGAGATACAAAGTTAAACCTTATAAAAAAAAAAAGGGAGATACCAAGTTAAAGTTGTTCAATTTATAAACATTGGCAACAAAAATAAGATAGGGGAAAGCAAAGGATAGACAGTATTACGTTCCGTCTGGTGAGGTCAGATGGTACATGTGGAAAGCATGACCTAACAAGTGTTCTTCTGGGACACCAACCATCTCAACTTGTTGCTTGGGATCTCGTATTAGTTGTACCTGACAGAATATTCATGAGGATAATTAAATATTCTGTTAGGGATCTGAGAATCGGTATTCTACCTTGTAAAATGCAAGTTATATAGAAAAATCACTTTCAACGCTTGAGAGCAAATTGAATTTCTCTATATGCTCCAACTCCAATTTAATTTAATCTTTCTTCATTCATTTCATTCGCTTTTCCTCCAAAACTCGGAGAAGGCTGAAAATATTAGACCTTGTATCTTTCGTTTCATTCTCCTTCCCTTCCAAACTTGAAGCACAGTTTGAAAATATTTGGTAACTTGACAGTCTGTAGAAAAACCATCCCAGACAAGCTTAATAGAACTGTAATCCTGTACAGGAAATAGAATTTACTCGAGACTTTTTGCTGTTATTGAAATTGTACAATGGATTTAAGAGAACGTGGTGAGTTCTGCTAGATGAATGTCCAAGAAAGAAAGAGAAACATATATCTGCAAGTTAACTACAGGAATGTGTGTCCCAGGAAAAGGGTTGCGGAAGGGGTCGGAAACCCCATAGCAAAATGGCACTATGGGAAGATATACGAACCAGATGGAATAAGATATGATATAGGAGCAAGTAGCATGACAATAAAGTGCCAGGGATGATAATATATTGATAGCTTCGGAAGAAAAAATAGTGGATGTTATCTGTACTCTATGTCTGTCAGATCTCGTCACCATTTCAGAAATTTGATTCAATATAAAGAAAAGTTTTAACGCAAAAAGCGCCATTTTGAAGCCATACACAGGAGAGGAGGGAGGTGATACATTCATATTGTACGAGTCTGATAGCTTTATCATCAGATCCTCTCATGAAGCCCATTTCAGTTATCTAAAACATGGTTAAGTTAAAACACAACAAATTTGTTTGTGGCAGTTATTTCCACTCAACTTGGCTCCACAACCTAGGCCTGAAACTCTCCATCAATGACCCTGAATTCAGATGCTTCACTTTACGAGCTATGAAGCATAAGAACTCCCACGGAGCAATAAAGTCAATCTTTTTCTCTATGCTATCAGATTCTTTCCCGTTCAACTTATTTAAGCAGGACGGTAAAGTTGGCTCCACAACCTAGGCCTGAAACTCTTCATCAATGACCCTGAATTCAGATGCTTCACTTTACGAGCTATGAAGCATAAGAACTCCCACGGAGCAGTAAAATCAATCTTTTTCTCTATGCTATCAGATTCTTTCCCGTTCAACTTATTTAAGCAGGACGGTATAGTTGGTGGTATTAGAAATGGAATGCAATGGACTATGTCATGCAGTGTCAGGGAAGCCTTTGTGTGTTGGAGCAACTGGAAAGTTGACAAGTCCATCAAGAAAATCTGGTCTATGGTTCCTGCTACTATTTTGCTGGGCTAATGGACAAAAAGGAATCAAAAATGCTTTGATGGCGTTACAACTGCCAGATGCAAACTTAAGGCTAGATGTTTAGTTTTCCTCTTTTGTTGGGTCAATCATACCCGTGTATAGCCATGACCTCTTTTTGGAATTTATCAGCTCTATAGTCCTTTAATAGGTTTCTTTTTTGTCTTCCTTAGGAGCTGATATCTTCCTCTTTTGTAATTTATGCATCTTCTGGATGCTTCTGTTATTAATATACAGGCACTCACATCATCAAAAAAAGTTGGTGGTATTAGAAAATAGTCAAATTGTGTAAAGATGAACGTGTTCGTAAAAGTATAGAAGACCACGAGCACTATTTTATGAAAGGATAAAGTCAAGACGAAATAAAATGGAAGAAGGAATGGAAATTTGAGAGAAAAGGGTATGGAAGAACCACAATAGGACAAATGTTCTGTCATTATTGAATAAAAAAAAGTTGTAGACGTACCTCATCCAAATCAAAAGAAACGCCTAATTTCTGAAAGCAAGAGATAACAGCCTTTGCAGTTCCAGAGGTGTCCAATTTACTTGCTTGATGAGACTCCATCACCTTATAATTTGATAAAGAGGCTCAAAATTCACACTTCAATCACAGGATACTATAAATCAAACTCAATTTTCTGTTAACACATTGAGATGAATAAGACTGCAAAAGGATCAGCAAAATAGAGAATAATAAAGGGCAAGCAAAGAAGAAAACAAATGCACCACAAATACACCGATAATTAGCCAAGGCAACAAGCATGCACATCACATATATGATCGGATTCCCAGATTTGCCTCAATTAGATATAGATATCTTAGGTTAAACAGCACAATCGAAAAGAGTAACTCCAATAATTCTTCGGACCAGTTCCTTCATATTTCAGTAAGAAAAGCATGAGGTATGTCCACTGTATGTCAAATCAGAAGAAGAAAATAATAAAAGAACCGAACCAAAGAAAGACAGTCTTTAAATCGCTCTGCCTAATCCTGGAGCATGCAAATAGTCACCTAAAATGCAGGCATGATACCTGGTGGGTACTAAATGATTTAATAGGAGTTTGGACAATATTTGGTTGAAGTTGAAAAAGAGTATTTTAATGTTCAGATATTTGCAAGGCATTTCAGACCCCTTAATGTTCCTGCCTATTTCTCTCCATTCATGAACTCTTAAGAGGCAAACCAAAACCCCAGTTGTAAAAGGAACAGCTGCTAAACTCCTCAATGAGTGAGGAACAGCCATTGTAATCACGCAGCAAGATGAGATAACATCCAGCGGCCTAGTGGCCCAATCACACACGAATCGAACAACTGGTGGTTTCAATTGGCCCTTTAGATATCCAGCCACAACATGGACACGAAATGCCAAATACAGCAATTCGTGTATACCCGTCACCACTGAGCTATATATCTTCAGTATTAAAAGCTTCATGTACACAATCTCAAGCAATTACTATTTTTGAGGTCGTTAACTCTAAATACATCCATAGAATATGTACCACGAAGATGGATATTAGTGAAAGATGTAAAAATGGTAACCAGTTATTTAGCGCTTAATTACTAGTCAAATTCTGCTGTCTGCCGTAAAATTGATTCCCAGTAGCTCTTAACATTTTCTATAGCAACATTAAATTCAAAAGCCATTTGGGTTTAATATATGCAAATCTCCGAAGGAAAAGAATTTATGTTAACCTCATATACATGTATTGTCAACGAGATCAGAAACCGAAAATACCAATGCAAGTAATGCAACTAGGCACCTTCATGGTAAAAGAATGAAAGCATACAAAATATAGTCAGCATTTCAATTTAATCTGAAATTGTTTAGTTATCAAGGTCTCAATAAGAAACACTTTGGCTGAATATACAAGAGCTTGTAAACCAATGGTCAACTCGCACGACGAAGAAGACAAACCTGTAGAGTGTACCCAGAGAAAGCTCCAGGGAATTGTTCGGACATGATTTCCATGGCTGCGAGAAAAGCTACCACCTAAAACAGAGGCAAGGTATACCCCCTGTTAAACTAAAGTCTGGCATACTATTAAAAGAAAATAGGAAGAGCAAAATGTGTAAACCTGCTTTCCCATTTGTGGTGAGATTACAGCATAAACTTTTGAGTCCGCCACTGTTTTGTAAAGCTTCTCCCTATCTCCACCAGTGGTTCCCATCACAAAAGGCACTCCAACTTTGCAATATAATTCAGCATTATCTGCAGGTTCATAGTGGTAACAAGAACATTACAATGGCATCTCCTGCGGAGAATGTGATAGATATCATTTTGGTGCTTTTGTTTTTTAAACCTCATTCCACATCCTCTTTTCCCCTCTGCTAAAGACATGTGCAATAGATATCACAGGAACCTACTTATGCTGGTAAATTTTATTTATAAAAACTTCAGTGTCTAGATGATTGGGTATCTGAGTACGTAGACAATCTATAACGTCCAGCATTTTATCAAAAATCATTACTAACCTTCCCCGTACACCAAAACTTTTAAGTCATAAAGACATCTACACTTTATAAGAGAAATATTCTATGTTTTACTCTTAACACATTTGTGGTTTCTTTCTAACAAAATTGTCCAAAATATTCATAAAGGAACAGTTCTCCGTGTCTACCTATAATCATTAGCTTCTGCTGTTACCAGCTAGTCACTACTTGCTTCCCAGCATCACGCACTGAATACCTTAAAAGTTCCAAAACATACACACAATTTGCCAAGTGGCAATGTAACAGGATATATCTTAAAGATCTAGCAGAATCTTCACAACAACAAAAAAAAACATCTTCTCTGCAAGTTGTTTTGTATTAGACATGTGTGATGTGTCATGTAAAACCTAGCCACTAAAATGTTTCCGCTGCTGTCCACATCATTCTGCACTCCCCTTCACCTATTCTTGTGCAGTTATAGTTCTTGTAAATGATGTTGTCTACTTCTTCCATTCCAGAGACTGAATATCTCTTCAAAAGCATACCTCCAAGGATAGACCCCAATTGCTTGTTGTGATAAGGTCAACCAATGTTGCTAACCACTTTTCCTTCTATAACGGAGAAATCCCCGATGCCAGTGGCGCACAGTTCGAAACTCGATAGATAATGGGTCCGTCCCTCTACCTTTCTCCACTTAATTACCGTGCTTTTGGTTGCGGAAGGGATCGAACTTGTGATTTGCGCCTAAAACCCACACTCACGTGTTGAACTCTTGCCCCTAGACCAAAGGCCAGGGGCAATGTTGCTAACCTATTGTTTATGATAACATGTGGATATGCTTCCTTCAAGATTGTAATTCCACACTATTAATAACAAAACAACATTTATAACTAATAAAGCCCCTCAAATTTCAGAGAGGATTTAGTACAGGAACAGCAGTAGGATCTGTTCATCTGTCTTCAATAGGACAGCGGTATTGTTTGATCCTTATTTCCTTTTATTTTCAGTACCAGTGATTCAGCAGGTCTAAAGTAATTCGTAGAGAATGCTTGACCTTATTTTCAGATGAAGATATCCAAAAGTATCTGAGCATTGGGATCAAACACAATAAAATCAAAACTTAAAGGAGATCAATACATGTGTAGCATATCAGAACAGCCAAAAGATACTCGAAAGTAACTTTTTGAATCTTTGTCTTACCATTCACAGCGGCAGGCACTGTGTAGTCCACTACAATTAAATTCGGGTGCTCCTCAAAGACAGAGGACAAGATGTTTTCTCTGTCCGAAGGACCATGCACAGTTATCTCTTTTCCACTCACCTCCACAATTTTTCCTGCATCTCCCGGACCACTAAAACATACAGAAACAGGTTGAAGTCCCGCAGAGATTGATGCTTCAAGAACTGCCCTCCCCATTTTACCAGTACAACCATTCACCTTTATATCATCAAATAAAACCAAAAAAAAAATTGAGCTTAATCAATCTGAATTAAAAAGTACTCACATATAACATTGTTAAAAATACAAATTCATGCTCATACTATAGCTTAACTTTTGAAGAGACTACCATATTTGATACCACCAATTGCAATTGGTATAAAACATGACTTTAAGTTATGTACACTAGCTGTTAATGATTTTTTACACTGTAAGGTCACTCAAAGGATATCTACAGACTAGAGGTAAGCCTCCTTAAAATAGGTATAGGTGACATGATAATGTAAAAACTCCTTACACAGATGGTGACTATAACTTTAAAACTCGTAAATATTTAGAACAGTTTTAGCCCGTGTAGTTAAATGTCATCGCGTAGTCGCTACTACAGCAAAAAATTGAAACACCAAGTAATAATAATGCCAGGTAGATTGAAGGGAAGGTACCATTATAGGAAGTGCATCGATTGAAGGCGTGTTCTGAATGAGCTGAACATGTTGGTCAGAAGTAAAACACATTTTCACCAAAGATTTTCGCCCTCTGACAAAACTACTACTATTACCATTTTTGCTGCTATAGTTGTAATGAATTATTCCTCCATGGATGTTCGATGGAACTTTAATGGCGGCCCACATTGTTTATCGATGGATTTCACTGGAACAAAAAAAAATGCCACATCGCCCAAAAAATACTTTCAACATTGAAAAGAAAAACATAAATTATACGAATTTTGGTCCATTTCGGAGAATGGAGAAGGATAATACCTGAGAAAGCAAAAGAGACGGAGGAGATGCTAAGCCGCCAGAGGTTTTGGGTTTTGAGTTTAAAAGTTATTGGGTTTTGTGCAATTTAGGTTAGTAATTTTTTTGGCAAAAAAGCGTTAGGACTTGAACCGGATTTTAAAGCCGCTACATGCTACATGAACTTTTTATTTTTGGATAAGGGTCTTTATTTGCCCATGTACTATCATAAATAAGTCTTATTTATTTTCTGTTTAAATTTTTTATCAAAAATATTCTTACAGTTATACATTAAGTTCATATTTATCCCTTACACGTTAAAACGGATTACATTTGTACTTCGTTATACTTTAGGATCATTTTTACCCCTTCGTTATACTTTAGGATCATATTTACCCCTTCATTATACTTTAGGATCATATTTACCCCTCTACTCTTCAAAAAGGGTTATATTTGTCCTTCATTATACTTTCTTGACATATTTATCCTTACAATTATACTTTAGGATCATATTTGCCTCTCATCTGTTAGATCGCCATGTCCCACCTTTGTTTTCCTACATGGCGCCTATGTGGATTTCTTTTTCTTCCAATTTAAATATGGTCATCTATTTAAGATAATTTAATCCGCCCACCCAATTTAAATGAGACACACTAACTCTATTGTTGTGCAACTTCTCGTAATTTACTTTGGTTACTGCAATAATTGTGAGTTGTATTAGATTGCTGATTTTGAGTTCAAAGTTATTGTTTGCCAATATGTTGTCGCTGCTATAACTATTGTATTTCGCACAATCTTTGTAAATGTCGTATCAGAAAATTACTTTTCGTTGATCAATCATGGTCAATTGACCTAGTTTAGACTTTACAGAGTTGTATCTCTACAAACACTTCAAAACATCATTGAGTGATTCATATCTCTAACTCGTAAGTATTAAAGGGAAACAAATTATCATAGACAAAGGTGAAATAATTAAATAAATAAATCAATTAGAGATAACACTATAGTTTCGTTCACTCATTATCCAAAATTTTCTCGCTCTTCAAAAAATATGGAACTGACCCGGAGAAGAGAGATGGACGAGTTGGGAGGGGAGGGGAGGGGAATTGGGAATTATGATTTTCATTTATTTTAGTTAGTGTGTCTTATTTAAATTGGGTGGACGGATTAAATTATCTTAAATAGGTGACCATATTTAAATTGGAAGAAAAGAAACTCACATAGACGTCATGTAGGAAAACAAATGTGGGACATGGCGATCTAACGGATGAGAGGCAAATATGATCCTAAAGTATATTGTAAGGATAAATATGTCAAGAAAGTATAATGAATGGGCAAATGTAACCCTTTTTAAAAAGTATAGGGGTAAATATGATCATAAAGAATAATGAAAGGCAAATGTAACACGTTTTAACGTGTAAGGGATAAATATGAACCTAATGTATAACTGTAGGGATATTTTTGATAAAAAAAACTTAAACAGAGGAAAAATAAGGCCTATTTATGATAGTAGAGGGGCAAATCAAACCCTTACCGTTTTATTTTTCCATTTTAGTACCTCAACTCGATAAAATAACCTATAATAAACCTTTCCCTCAGAGCGTGTATCTCAATTACCTCACATAAATACCACGTAAGATGCTTAAGACCATTTATTATTTGACATTTGTAATTTGTGGGTCCCATCTTTTTTAAAACCAACTTACAATTTTTTTTCTCGTTCCTTCCACCATTTTCAATGGTAAAAAGTCCAAATCTGATCCATTCATGTCCTACTACATATTTTAACCAAACCTTAGTCCAGAAATTAGTCTAAACAAACCGTAAGATTTTTCTAAAAAAATATCAAAACCATTCCGATAAAGTTTCCCTCGGAAAAAATGTCATCTCGGCGAAGCTCATCAAAATTAACAAACCTCCTTAAACACCTATTATTTCCCACCCCTAAAAGTTTTAAGCAATTTTGTCATTCCAATCGACCAAAGAAGATCGCCGGAAATGTTGTCCCCGCCATACCTTTACCGTCAACTGAAAAAATGAGATAGACCAATGCCAAAATAATTAGTTTACGTGAAATAGAGGCTGGCCAATATATCGTTCAAAGCTGCAATGAAGAGAAAGGAGATGGGGTGGGGGATGGGAAGAAACTGTCGGGAGAAAGAAAATGTGGGGGTTTTGGGGGGAGGGGAGAGGAGAGATGGGTAAGGAAGAAGATAAGAAAGGGGGATACGGGAGGGATTTAGGATTTAGTATTTTTTTAAATTTTTTATTTGTTGTCTTTTATTTACTTTTCTTTTTTCCTTATTCAGATTTAACATTTTTAAAATAGAATAATTTGAAGGACACACTTTTTCTGCGTGATTGGCACGCACTTTGACCACGTCAGCTGTGCCACTGCCACATAATCATAGTCAAAGGTCAGATGTGTTCACCTATAAGCAACCAGCTAAGTTGAGGTTTTAAAATGGGAAAATCGAAAGTTTATATACCGGCTTTAAAATTCGATGCAAGTTTAGATAGCTCGGAGGCCATTTTGCCTAATTTTTTTAGAACACTAGTTACGTGTTCAAACGAGTGTTATTGTATCGTAACATTACTTTAAATATAATCTCTTTTGATTGTTATATAAATTTTATTACTATATCATATTGTTAAATAAAAAGTATTACTTTATGGAACGTCTTATTAGGTATACATCATGAAAAGTAGCATCGTTACCTTTTTTTTTTCTTTCATCTTATTCTTTTTTTTATCATTTACCATATATTTTTATATAATAATATTACCTCGTACCTTATTTTTTTTTTTTAATAATATTACAAGTTTATTCTTCTTACTGTTTGTGCATGACATTATGAAACGACGACAAACAATACAATCTATCAAAACATTATATATATCAAAATGCTCTAGTACAGTACAATAATATACGACATTATGAAACAATACATAACAAGCTTTTGAAATAACATACAAGCTTTTGAAATTGATAAACATTGATCCTATACAACTAACTCAACAAAAAAAAAATTGTGCTTCGTAGTATTTCCAGTAGGGCGTAACATGACCTCGTCACTACTCTACTGAGGTTAGGCTTGGCACTTACCAGGTACCGTTGTGGTGTACTCATGCTGCTCTTCTGCACATCTTTTCGTGCAGATCCAGGTTCTTTCTACCAGGCTAGAAACCGGTGAGATAACCTGTACGCGAAGACTTCAAGGTACATATGCCAACGTCCGGAGACCTAGGGGTCCCCCTATATCCCTGTTATGTTATTTTTCCTTATTCTTTTTAGACTTTGATGTATAGAAACACATAGTATTTCTCTTAGAAGCTTGTGACTTATTTCTACTAGGTTTTGGAAGTTGTAATTATTGTTTTATAATTTTATATTTATTTCATATGTTGAGATTTGGGTTTCAGATTTATATTATATTATTCCGCAAATTTTTGGCTTACTTAGTCTTAGAGACTAGGTTTCATCACGACATCCTACAGAGGAAAAATCGAGGCCATGACATTTATGTTCCCACATTTCAATTTTTTAATTATAAAATCAATTGAAGTCACTATTGTTCTCATCTTGATTTTTCTCTTTTGATTTGATAAGCGTATTTTAAAATTTCAATTAATATGATTTATATAAGACAAAATATTTTTTTATTTTAAATTCTTAAATATTAGGACTTTATTTATTTTAATAAGAAAATATTTAATATGCAAAATTTTAATTAATTTCAAGGTCCCGCCTATTACAAACTAACTTAAATTATAATTATGTCCATTGTAAAAAAAATTTAAAGGTTAAAAAAGGCGAATGATATTTCGCTAAAGATTTTTGTACGTATAGTGTAGATTCTATGTGAGTATTTGTTATTCATCCTTCCTAAAGTGTTACTTTTGACTTTTTTAAGAGTTAATTTGATTAAATTTTAAATTTAAATTAAATTAGATCAACTTAATTTATATATTCAAAAACTATATGAAAAATACTATTAGTTTTAATTTTTCTTATGTTATATATGATACAGAAAATTAAAATATATTAGTCAACATCATATAGTTTGAATATCGAAAAGTAAAAGTGATAAGGTGAAGTACTTTTATTTTCTTCACTTTGTTGATTTTGGTTTTTTTTCTACTCCAATAAATTATCATTTAGACGGGAAAAAAATTATCCTTCCACATCATAATCCAGAGATTACATAATTAGAATTACAAGTGATATCACTTAACTTAACTGTGAAATGTTATTTAAAAGTAGTGAGTTTTTCAGTTCTTATCTTTTACATATATATTTGGAGGTAGGGTGATATATGCCTTCCCCTTTGTGTCCTTTCTCATTTCCCACGATCAATAAATCCTAACTCGATAGCAAAAACCTACGCGGGTGTACTGAAAAAATGAAGTAGTCTTTGACATGCATTTTCATAACTACATTTTGTCATTTTAGTATGTGAAAACTTGCAATTTAGTATACTTATAAAGTTTTTAGAAAGGAAAGCGAGCGCAATAAAAAATATCTAACGTCGACTTTTCTATTCGTAAAATACTTATAAAAATAGTTTGACCTGTTGGATTACAATTATTTCAAGAAGTTGACTATAACTCACAATTAGTCTACATAAGAAAAAACATTTCTAGAAGGTTATTTTCTAAATAGTAATCGTATCATATAACAAAAGGAGTGATTACTAAAGGGTTATAAGTGTATTAATACATGTTAACAAGCATACCAACAGCTTCACAGAGGCGGAGCTAGGAATTTAATTGTGTGGGTTCTAAATTTTATAATAAAATACTGTTTTCGGCGGGAATCGAACCCCCATCTTTCTTAGCGAACTCACAACCCTTACCATTGAACCAAGATCCCTTTTGTTATTGGGTTCGGCAATATATAATTATATAGATTTAGTAAATATTTCAATACAAATACAGGGTTCCGAAAAAAGTCACTGGGTTCGCCCGAACCCGTACCCACTACTGTAGCTCCGCCCTGCAGTTTCATGAAGCTTGCGTGTGAGAAGAATTAACTCAAATAGTTGTTCATCCAACCGCTTAAATAAATATAGTCAATGGATGTAAAAATATATGTATGATCCATATATAATATTTGTATAACCTAGTGTAATCGGTATATAATCTATGTATATCGATTAAATAAATAAATAATGAATCTGGCCGGCTATTTGTGTAAAAATTCTTTTTGTGGTTGGCCATATCCCTTCAAACAAGCTTATGAGGTTCATGGGATATTAATAATAAGGGCTAAATGGAGTTTGTCGTAGAAATGACGTGGGGTTGTCACTTTTTAATGTGGTATTTAGTTTTTATCCAGCATTTTTAATGCTGGGTAAAAATAGCCGTTATTCTATTAAAATTAATACGAAAAGTCGGTTTTACCCTTTCTTATGAGTGCTGTGTAAATATTAAGGACGTTCACCACTCATGAAGTTAAGGACATAGTGTCCTAAAATTTAACAACAAAAGGTGCAAATACATGACACTTTGTCCTTAATATTTATACAACACTCATGAAGTTAATGATACAATGTCCTTAATATTTACACAATACTCATGGAGTTAAAGACACTATGTCCTTTACATTTATACTGTACACATGAAGTTAAGGACACCATATCCTTAATATTTACACAATACTCATGGAGTTAAAGACACTATGTCCTTTACATTTATACTGTACACATGAAGTTAAGGACACCATATCCTTAATATTTACACTACACATATGAAGTTAAAGACATGATGTCCTAAAGTTTAACAACAGAAGGTGCAAATACATGACACTTTGTCCTTAATTCACACAATACTCATGAAGTTAAGGACACCGTGTCCTTAATATTTAGTTATTTACACAACACTCATGAAGTTAAGGACATAGAATTCTAAAATAAGATGAGCATAATGTGGAATAGCTAACACTTCAGCCTATCTTGTGCTTTTCCTTCTTGATATCCTTGGAGTAGCTAAAGGTGGAATAGAAGGTATCTCTTTGATGGAACTTCTCTTACACATTTTGAAGAACTTGTACCAGAGAGAAGGCATAGATGAATTTAACAAGCAGATTTGAGAATCCGAAGATTTAGCTTTTGGATAATTAGAGTTATTGTCCCGCTTCTTATGCATGCTTCAATAAATTCTCTTGGAAAATAGTATATTCTAAGCTTGTATATGGTCAAAAGCACCTGCATTTAAGATTGACAATTAAGTGCTGCACGGTAACTTTTTTATTTGTTGGGTTAGGAAACATTAGTTCACGAAGGATTGATTAGTATATTGGTGGTGGGCTTTGACGATAACCACCAAGAGGCATAACTGGAGCAAAGAAAGTTTGAGGTGGAAATATGAATGGGTACATATGTATATATATATATATATATATATATATATGACACGTCTTATATATACAGCTCAATTTACGTTTTAAGATAAAGACAAGCAGTGAGATATACTATATCCTATCAATTTAGGGATGGCAAATGGACTGGGCACGGTCCTTAACATTTACACTGCACATATGAAGTTAAGTACATGATATCCTAAAGTTTAAAACAAAAGGTGCTAATTCATGACACCTTCCTTAATATTTACACAATACTCATAAAGTTAAGGACATCATGTCTAGCACAGGGATATTTTCGTTCAAGCTGGTAAAGTTTATTAAAATATTAACTAAAGAGTAAATATATTTTAAACAGTGGTGTAAGAGTAAATACAACTCTAATTAGTGGCTAACTGTTCACTTCCCCAAGTTTGTCCATGTCTTGCCGCAGCCCAAAACTGTGTGCCAAAACTCGATCTTATAGCACCATTATATGCTCCATTAGTCGAATTTGCACAAATCAATATTTAGAATCTACTAACTTTTTGTGTTCTCATTTCGTCATTGACATAGTCTGCTGTAAGCTTTACTAAACATATTATTACTAGGTTTACTTTTGGTGCTTTATACATACTAGTTAACTTATGTATACAAAAAATTATTTATTTAAAAGCACCATGTTTAGGCAAACATCGACAAATAAATTGGGACGGGGAGTAATAATTTCATATAAGTACCTCTTTTTTCTTTGGGAAAACCACATAGATTAAGAGTGATAAGATTTATTCCATCAAAATGTACTGATAAAAATGACATAACTAGTTGGTTCTATACTGTTGAGCGTACATAATTGATATATTTTGCAGGATTAGACACATGAAACACATCCTACACAAGTACCACAACATAAAAGAATAGTAAAAGTATGAAAAACCCTTTAATGACTCCTAAAAAATAAAGAAAAAACCACAAATGGCTACATATTTTTCCATTATATATCTTATTAACTTGATTACTTGAGAAATTGTATAGCATTGTTAGGTTAGGAGATTATATTATATTGAGGGGGTTGTGGAGGGGAAACTTGGTGGGGAAACTAATGATTCACAAGAAGCCAAGATATATTAGGATGATGAATGAAGTAAAAACGAATCGGTGTTTAGTTTTTGGCCACATGAGTGATGTGCATCAGTGCATGAATGACCAAATGAAGTACAGAGATGTGCAACCAAATAATGCCACAAACAATTAATCCAACTAACTTATTTTTTACGATTTGACCCCTCAAATACCTCAAAAATCCAGCTGGGACTTTAATATCAATTGTACTTATATTCCATCAATCATTCTACCTACTTCAACACTTAAAGTTTACTGAACTTTTGTATCCTTTATTTGTTTTCTATTCATTACAAGATATTTCCTTTAGGGGAGAAATGATATGAAGTTCTTGGTGAATTACTTGAAGTGAAAACTAGCATATACCCATATATCAAAAGAAAAACGTCTGTTACTTTAGCATTTGTAAGTTCTCATTTATTTTTCTCAAAGTCTAAAGGCCCGGCTAATTTTTTTTTCCACTTTTTTTTTTTAATATTTTTTATTTTTTTCGAAATCAGTGTTTGACCATAAAATATTTAATTTTCATTTGAAAATGAATTTCAAAATTTTTTGAAATTTTTTAAAACTCCAAAAATTTGTTTCTCAAAATTTTTCACTTCAGATCACTCACAAAAATTAAAAAACAACCCAAAATTGTATTCATGTCCAAATACAATTTTAATTTTAAAAAAAAAAAAAAAAAAAACTTTTTCCCAAAATTTTACAATTCGTATGTCCAAACGCGCACTAAATGCCTTCCTCTAGTTGAAAAATTAACAAGCCGTTGGCACACTTCTTTTGGTTGCAAAATGGTTGCAAAAAGAAGTGTCAACACATTATTTGCTTAGAAACTGTTAAACAAGCTCCAAAAGCCGTGTGGTAAGCGTATTAGAATATACAGTTGAACACTTGGAAAATAAGCCTCACAAAATTAAGCTTCACACTTGAGTCTCGAGGCATTATGAGAGTGCCCTACTCCAAGACGAACCCCAAGAAAATCTCCAAAAAATAAACTTTTAAAATACTAATTGCAGGACAATATATTTAGACCTTTTTCCTTGTGAAAAGAGGCACTCACCTTATGTTGTCACAATTCAAGTCTCTGGCATAACTCTTCGTACTTCTATGGTTTATCCCGTTCGGACTGTATTGCGAAGTTATAACCAACAACAGTCGATAGAACAATAGAAAATTAATTATTTAATCTATCTCCAATCTCAAATTCATTTTATCTTTATTTCAGATTTCTACAACTTAAAAGCAGAGGTAAATAATGTGCATTCCAAGCTTCACCCGACAATTCTAGTTTAAAGAAAGCATTTTTTTTTTGAAAAAATTATAGACAAATTTATCCAATAAATCTCCTTTTCTTTATCCAATTTTAGAAACCACACCATGAAATGATAATTCGGGATCGACCTTCTTTTAATCTCAATTCGTATTATTATTATTATTATTATTATTTATTATGAATTGATAAATTTTGTGCTAATTACAAATTTAATATAATTTTTTTTTATTCGAAATTGGAACCGATAATATAAATAAATAAAGTCGAAGGAGTTTTTAGAGACCACACCCTCATTTAAGAAAACTCTCAATACCGTAACGGGTAATGTGTACTTTTATATTTTTTCTTCAAAGGATACGTGTACTTCAAAAGAGATACATACAAACAGCCAAGTTTTGTTCACTTTGTGTCAACATCAATTTGAAGTCGTAGGCACTGACGGACTCCGTTTGTCGTTACGTGCCTCTTTGGCGTTCCCCCAACGCTCCTTAGCTTTTGTCCCAATGGACGGCGTTCCCTCACTCTTTTTGTCTTTTTCCACCCAATTTTGGCAATAAACTAACACTTTCAGGGCCAAACTCATAAATACCCCATACTTTAAGTCCTCCCCCCCAAAACCATATCTATGCTAAAAATCACTATGTGGGTCCCACAACTTACCCCAAAAAGTTTATTACCCTTTTTGCCCCCCATAATTTGTCGTCTATCTATTCGAAGCCCTCTGTCACCCTTCACACTTTAGCATCGATCTACTACTCCCTGCTATTTTGCGCCGGAATCCTTATCATTCACCCCCTTCAATTCTCTCACCTCATCTCAACTGGTCATTTTCTTGCAGATAGTAAGCTACTACCCATTTCTCTCTTCTTGTTGTTTGGCATACATAAATGAGCTGAGGGAAGAGTTTGTGTGGGGTGGGAGATGAAATTACTATCAGAGTTGGAAGCTTTATTGTTCTTTTGCTTTTTCATGGAAATGTAATCTGTTACTATTTCTCAAGTGTGGAATTCTTTTTTCAAATTGGTTTTATTTTTCGTGGTTTTTGTAATCTGTTTTCTTTTTCCCCACATCAAAAGGAGCAGCTTTTTCTATGGCAAGAAATAATGAAGCTACTGCCAACGAGTCCAAGAATGAATCTAAGGTAAATATTTTTCTTTTCTCTAATTATTAAATTTGTTGTGTTGATTTAAGGTTTTTTTTTTTCTTCAAGATTTTGGTTTCTACGTTATGGTTTGAATTTAGTTTGGAATGATCTTGTGTAGGTTTGTACTGAAGATTTGGAGGGGTAGGGTTATGTTTATCTTGGAACTTGTATTTTTGAAAGGTTGTACTTGCTAAAATATTGGTTCTTTGCTGCTATATTTGGTCTATCAGTGCTCAGTACCCCAGAAATATGCTTGTTTTTATAGGAAAATGAGTGTCCTTTTGTGTAGATTTTCAGTCTGTATACCTTGGTAGTGTGGGTCTGGAATTGCTCTAATTGCTCCGCTAAAGACCTTCTATTTTGTATAATGGGCCTGAATCATTTTTGCTATTCCTCTTTTAGTATGCTGCAGTGTCATACTAGTATTTATGCTAAATATCATGATATATGTGTATAATAAATGGATAGCTTTAGTTGGGCACAGCATCCTTGAATAGGACATTGTAGTGTTATTTACAATTGTGTTGCAAGTGTTAGATGTAAATTGAGAATATTGTTATGCATAGTGCAGGTTATCATCACTTCAAAATCGTACAATTTCTCAACTTTCACCTCTGTTTTCTTATAGAGGGTGGTTCCACTCAATACATGGATCTTAATTTCCAACTTCAAGTTGGCTTACAATCTTCTTCGTCGCCCTGATGGGACTTTCAACCGTCACTTGGCAGAGTTCCTTGACCGTAAGGTCCCAGCCAATGCTAATCCAGTTGATGGAGTTTTCTCTTTTGATGTTGTCATCGATCGTGAAATAGGCCTACTCAGCCGTGTCTATCGTCCATCTTTTGAAGATGGAGCTTCGCCGAGCATAATTGAACTTGAAAAGCCTGTGACTGCTGATGTTGTACCTGTCATAATTTTCTTCCATGGTGGAAGTTTTGCACACTCTTCTTCCAATAGTGCTATCTATGACACGCTATGTAGGCGCCTTGTTGGTAATTGCAAGGCAGTTGTTGTGTCAGTTAATTACAGGCGAGCGCCCGAAAATCGTTATCCTTGTGCTTATGATGATGGATGGACTGCTCTTGAGTGGGTTAATTCAAGGCAATGGTTGCAGAGCAAAAATGACTCAAAGGTTCACATATACTTAGCAGGAGATAGCTCTGGTGGTAATATTGTTCACAATGTGGCTTTCAGGGCAGTAGAATCCGGCGTACAAGTGTTGGGAAATATACTGCTGAACCCTATGTTTGGTGGACAAGAGAGAACTGAATCGGAGAAGCGATTGGATGGCAAATATTTCGTCACACTTCAAGACCGAGACTGGTATTGGAGAGCTTATCTTCCTGAAGGTTCAGACAGGGACCATCCTGCATGCAACCCGTTTGGTCCAAATGGTATAAACCTCAATGGAGTTAAGTTCCCTAAGAATCTTGTTGTTGTAGCAGGGTTGGACCTTGTTCAGGATTGGCAGTTGGCCTATACTGATGGGCTTAAGAAGGCTGGACAAGAGGTTAAACTGATATATTTGGAGAAGGCGACAATAGGTTTCTACTTGTTGCCAAATAATGAACACTTTTATACTGTCATGGATGAGATAAGTAACTTTGTGAATTCTGACTCTTAGTAGATTTAACCTTGTCAAAGTAGGATGCTTGACGAGACGCTTGATGTTTTCTTGAAGTTAGTACCTAGCCTTTCAACCGTTTGAAAGATTATATAGCATTACCAATTACTGCTTTATTGGTCTTGCTAGTGCTTGGATTCTGCTCTAGTGGCTGGGTTGGTTGTTGGAAGCAGAAAACCTCAATCATGTAGCTGGATCTGTGCTATATTTATTTCAGGTACCAAAAGTGTCTGGATATTGGTTGTATATTCTAATAGATGCGCCAGTGGTTATGGTCATCTTGTCTTCGGCTAGCAGATATGCTGATTTACAGTTAACCTTTCCCATGTTAACCTCCGTAGTAGAGGGGGTAAGTCTGGTGCTGATCCATCAGGGGACCAACCGGTGCCTTGCTAATATTATATAGGTGATCATACTACTAGGCTTCATGGATGAACATCCTAAATTATGAAGTTGTATAATATCTTGAATTATATAGAACTGTGTTTGCGCACACGCGTTATCATTGTTTATTTTCTTTTCTAATTGTCCTTTATCACTTCCTTGATCTTGAACACGTACATCCTTAGAACACTTCCTCCCCTTAGAAGATGTGTTTTCAGGTACTGTTTCTTTTCTTCAGGATGCACACAATATGAACATATTGAACATATGTAATTCAACATATCTCATTGTTTTAAGCAGAATTGTTTCTAAGAATTTATAGTTCTCTTGCACATGAACTGAATGTCCAATGAGGTCTTTCTATGTTTTGCAATAATGAAATTTGGCATTGTTGGAGGTGGTAAAAATCAGTCTTAACACATGAGGTGATTTTCTGTTGGCTAGCAGCCAACTTGGAAGTGTTACCTATTATAGTAGTATTGATCCTTGTGTTGGTGGAAGGTAGTAGGTATGCCGTGAAATAATTGAGGTTCCGGTAAGCTGGCTCGGTGCTCGGGCACTATTGTTATAAAAAAGAAAGGCTTAAATGCTGGTATTATTGTGTTAGAACACTGGTGATTTTGGAATATTGACAAAGAACCAGTCTTGTCTTTTGCTAAATTCATCTGTCTTTGGTTAGCTTATGAATCTAGTCCCGTAGTGTCAAATTGGTGAAAGTTTCACTGGCAAGATTGTTTCTTTGCCCCCTTTTCCCTTTCCATTCTACGCCAATTCTTTCTTCATATTTACAAGAAAGAGTTGCTGAATATGTAACTTTCGCTGCTAGGTTATGGACACATATTTTGGAAATAGGGATACTTGCAAATATAGATAATGACTTGTTCGGGAAACAGTGGACTTGCGGTGATTGCTATTTGGATGTACTAAAAATCCCTTTTTTTTTTCTTTACTTTACTTTGGGGAGGTTATTTTGTTTTGGGGTTCGTGTATTTGAGCTAGCCAGGATGTGACATCTGTTTAGTATTTACTGTCCTATTTTATGGGACAATTCTTTTATTGGAAAACTATTAAAAATTAGTCTTCGAGCTTTATTTTTAGTGAGATGACTTGTTTGGACCCACTTTATAAAAGGTCATTCCTTTGTTTAGGAGAGATAAAATAAAAAAATATGTGGAGTTCTTACCATTATCATTTCATTATTTGTTACTTGACATAAATTTGCCATTAACTTGTTCTTTTTTTTTTTTAATTTCTCAAATTTTGTGTGTAATCAAAGAATTTTACGTCAAAATGGAATGGAGTAGCTGTTTTGTCTATTTTTGTGGGTCCTTGCATTTGGTAAATGTGAATAAGTGAAAATTACTTGTAAGAATGGAAGTCATTGTCATGGAATAAATGGTGTCTAATCATGGAAAATGACCAGTAAATTTGAGTGCTTTATTGGTTTTAGTTGAAAAAACAGGTGTCAAGGGAATAATGTTCGAACTATAGAAATGATTCATCAATGTTGGAACAGGAAGGAAAAAGCAGAATTCGTTACTTTGCAGTATTCCTGTTTGGGATACAATAATGACCAAGTTTTTAGTGCTCATTACTACAATAGTTGTTAGTAAATACCAGGTTTTTGTTTATATTAACCTTGAACAAGAAACTAAGAGATATATATCAAGAAATCGTAGGGTATATACTATAACTTTAGTCCCCACGATAATGATAATAAAGCTCAAAAGTTCATTTATCTTCACAAGAGCAATAAGAATTTCTTTACATTTTTTTCAAGAGGTTTTAGGCCTACAAGGCCTTTTACAATGTTCAATTTAAGAAAATGTCTTTTTTAGATCTCTTACGTGTAAAAGAAAGATCTCTTACGTGTAAAAGAAAGATTTCTTACGTGTAAAAGTAAATCTCTCATGTGTAAAAAAAGAGGTAAGGTCGTAAAACTAAAAACAAGTTTGTAAAAAGTCAAAAAACCAATTGACCCTTTTTTCAATGAGAAATCAATATGAAATTACAATGTAATACTTCCCTTTCTTGTGTATTTTCGCAAATATACCAACTACATAAAAAAAAAAAATCTCTTTCCCCACAAATGTGCTGTTTACAATGGTTAAATGACACCCGGTGACAACACATGAGAGGAATTGATAATTGTTTAGCCTTATATTAGGTTTTGGCAAAGGCAACTACAAATAATTGGCAATTATATAGTCAAATCTTAAAATTCATGTTTTATTATTTATTTCTTATTTTAGATATACAAAAAGGAAAATAAAGTTGTGATAGTGATATACATTTTGATATTCACATTATCGTTATAATATATTTATTGGCTACTTCATGCCAATATCTATAATTAGGCTTTTTTTCTGCTAATTACATAAGTACGTTATCCCGTTTGCAATCTGGATATTGGGCTTCGAGAAGAGGGACATGACTTGGTCCAAAAGATAGATCTCGGCCCAACTCGAACCAAGTAAAGATGCCGAAATAAAAGAGATTTTTTCTTTCCTATACAATATTTAAAACTTATTTACCAAAATTATCTTAGTTTTGTTTATTACCCGCCCTAAACAAGGATTGCTTACAAATTATATATAATTCATTATTAGTACCTTAAATTAAGGGATTTAGTTATACCTTTTTCCTTTTTTCTCTCTTCTCCTCTTTCCATATTCTTTGTCGCCTCTCTCCATATATAATCTATTATTAGTACCTTGAATTAGGTGATTCAATTACCCCTCCCCCTTTTTTTCTCCTCCTCTCCTCTTCCTCGTAGTGCCTTAACTGTAGTATTTATGTAAAATGAAAAGTAGAAAAGTATTATTTAAGAATCACTTCCTCTCTAAAGAAAAATCGGAAACATTGAATCCCATTCTTAATAGAAAGATTCTGCCGAATGTCGAACGTCCTTATGGACAGGTTTTCACGACAATCCAATTCAAAATTGGATTGACTTACACGTCCTTTACTTTACAATTATCCAATTTCAAATTGTATTAAGTATTTACTAATATTTTATATACAACTATTATATATATAAATATTAATTGTGAGTGCTAAATATATTTACATATATACTTCAACCAAGAGATATAAATTAATTTTTTATTCCAAATAGAAAATTTTAATTTGTCCACAATATTAATTATATCCTCTGTGCTAGCAAAGAATATAATAATATGTTATTTGGACTAATAATTTAATTTATTTGACTAATTAAATTCTTTAGTTTAATTATCAAAAGGAATTTAGAATGCCGAAATACTTAATTTTGATATAAATTTGATACATCTATAATAATATATAAACAAAAAATAGTTTTTATACGACTAATTATATAGTATACAACTTTTTATAACTTATCTACAACTCTCATACATTATTTTTACCCGATTAAATATAACTACAATATCATACAACTTAAATAAAATTTTCATACACATTTTATACAATATGTCTTTTGTATATGATTTGTATATATTATGTATGTGGTGTGTTTTTTCTCTCGGAAATTTCAACCAAAAATTCCTTTCTTAATACAATTTTGATATATATCAACAACTTTATATAAAAAGATAGCATTCATAAATTAAATACAAATTTTATATAATGATTCATACATTATACAACTATTTTTCAACTTTCATACAATATTTAAATAAAAAATATATAAGTACAACATAATACGATTTAAATATAATTTACATACAACTTTAACACAACTTCTTCTTCTTCTTCTTCTTCTTCTTCTTCTTCTTCTTACACCCTCAAAATTGAGATATAAACTCTAGAGAATATTTTCAATTGTTTGCAACAACATCAAATCCAAACAAACAATAGTTTTTGAAAACTCAAATTCGAGTTCAAAGCTTCGGAGCTTTTTAATGGTTGTCAATGGTGGAGAATCAAATACCTTCAAAATTTATTGATTGACAATTTCAATTCGAATACCAATTGTGCAACATAAAAATGAAATTGCTAAGTTAAAACTCTATATTGTAACAATTAAAATTTATTGATGAATTTCCTGGGAAAAAAAAGAGAGGATGAAAAGCAGAGAAAAATGAAGGAAGAAAATTGGGGAAAGAACTGAGAAGGAGAGAAGGAGAGAGAGAGAGAGAAAGTGAGACAAAGAGAGAGAGAGAGCGCGTGTGTAAGGATGGAGATTCCCTATTCAATTCCTACTATAAAAGGGATACTCATTTAAAACTATTTTGTATAAAATTGGTAAATTGTATATGCCCGTGTAATGTTAGCACTTGATTAGGGAGGGTAATAAAGTTTCATATATAGTATAGGAAGGTAAAAATTCCTAAATAAAATGAGCCTTTTTCACTTTTAGCATGCGTCAGAAACTATTTACATTTGGTAGCCAAAAAGTATATAAAATTTGTATATTTTTTTGTATATAACATATAAATGTATATATATACAAAAAAATATATTTTCGGCTATTATTTTCAGACCGACTATATAATGTCATTTTCCTTTCATTTGATTTTATTTGAAAAAATGACAATGTATAGTCGGTGTAAAAATAATAGCCGAAAAATATATATTCAATTACGTTAACTCAATATACCTCAAAATAAATAAAACTTAAGATGCCTAAATAATGAATTCAATTACATTAACCACATAATTATTACTACTAGGTTTTACTTTTTCAAAGAATAATTTGATAAGAAAGCTAAAATGAGGTATGTCGTTGGAAGGACACTTATATATATTCGACTGTATTGTGATAAGCTTATATGTTGTTCTACGTGTATATTATTTAAATGCACAACAAGTTCATATCATATTCGATATAACACACCTTGTTGTGTGAGGTTGTTCAAATTGTCGATCAGTCTCAAACACGATTAAACAACAACAACAATAACCCAGTATAATCCCATTAGTGTGGTCTGGGGAGGGTAGTGTGTACGCAGATCTTATCCCTACCCTGGGGTAGAGAAACTGTTTCCGATAGACCCTCGGCTCCCTTCCTCCAAGAACTCCCCACCTTGCTCTTGGGGTGACTCAAACTCATAACCTTTTGGTTGGAAGTGGAGGGTGCTTACCACTAGAGCAACACACTCTTGTCTAAAACACGATTAAAAGAGAAAGATTATAATATAATACGTTGACGGGTTTGTAAATAAAAACTAGTCATATGTATTGTGATAATCGTAATACAGAATACATTGAGACTTACCTAGACAATGTCATAAAAAAAAGGAGCAAAGAGTTCCATCAAACTGTAATCTAAAAGTAAGAGAGTATGAGCAAGGGTTCCACATCATGATTATGCATGCGTGGTGCAAAATAGAAAAG